CTCCTCCAGTGTTTGAAGCTGCGACCTGTTCTTGCTTTTCATTGTGTTCATAGCAGAGAAGCCAGCTTCACACAGATACAATGTTGAGAAAGGAAGAAGTGCTTCAATTGCCTTCTTTGTAATGATGGGGTATTCCTCTCGAAGGGACAACCAGAATGAAGTCATATCTGTTGATAGGTGCTTCACTTTCAGTCCTCTGTCGCTTCTGATTTCCGTCAGCGCATCCTCTTCGGCAACATTTAATCCTGCTGACTCGCACGCACTTACCACAAACGGATCTCTCACCCAGTCCAAGGAAGATACATCAAGTGATGGGAAATACTTTTCAATGTTTTTACTCAGTAACGACAAACTATTTAAACTCCCGCGGCACACCTACGGATGCTTCGCGGCACATTGGTTGAAAATCTCTGGTCTAGAGTTTAGGTCATAAGAAGACACCTGGAAGACCTACATACAATACTGTATAATGCCTGGTTCCCACAAGTGAATAGTGATAGGAAGGGCATCCAGCCACAAAACTTACTTCAAATTTTCCTGATAGTAATTAGGATTTAAAGCATGGAAAATAGCCATAAAGTGGTGATAAGGATGATGATTATAATGGTGATAATGGGGCTCATCTAATCCTTTCCCAGTTAAATGATAGATGTGGGTGAGGATACACTGTTGTATCTTCATCTTCAGTTTCATAAATTTGATGTTTTGTATATAAGGCTTTTAGGTCATATAGTTTTTGTGGGTTGTGTTGTAGGTTTGTTTTAGATGTGATGATACACCTGGAGGTTTTTTGGTTGTGGAATGGGGACCTTTTGGATTCCCTGTTTTCTATGCAAATGAAGATCAAACTGCCAATTTTGGAAACAAATTGAGGCTGCAGTAGGCAAAATTAAAATTAAAGGCTTTTGGGGTTGATGAGCTTCCCCCTCAAATTATTAAAATAAATGGGCAGGAATTAAATAGAACTGTTAGAAAAGTCAATAGACAGGTATTTGCTTCTACCAAAAAGGCAAAAACCTTAGAGGGTCATGCTGCAATGTTTTATGACAATTAAATAGAATAAATATTAGAATAGACCGTGAGTTATCTGGAGATCAATATGAATTGAGAAAGGGAAGAGGTTCTTGGGAAGATTTGTGGTGTAAAACATTTTAAAGGAAAGGGCTCGAGAGGTTTAAAGAAATTCAATTGTGTGTTTTATGGATTTTGAGAAAAACATTTGATAGTGGCATTTTAATTAAAAATAAATCTTAAAAGAAGGATTATGATAGGGAACAAGGAACTTAAACAGGTTGAAAAATTTTTGTGTTTGGAAAACAGCATAAATTGTGATGGTAAATGTGGAAGATAAATTTAACTTGGGACATCTTGCAAGAGTAGCATATAAGAATCTTAGACCTGTTAAAAAGGGGCATTTGTTATTAAAGTGAAAAAACTAATGAAATCAAATGTATGATCAGGGCTATTGTATGGCTCTGAAACCTGGACACGAGGGAGGCAAGAGGCCTTTGACATGTAGTGCTACTGCTACAGGAAAAGTAAAAGATAAGTTATACCGATTGATAAATAAAGTGCAGTAGGACCCCTCTAGTGTGCCGATCATTATTTCCCAATACTGTACAATATAGTTCATGCCAATTACATATACAGGTAGGATCCAACCTATGTCATGTTCAACAAAATTTGCAATACAGTAGTTTACATTTTCCAACAAAATTTGAATGAGAAATATGATTAAATACTCAAAATGTTGGTAAAAAAACAAACAAACAAAGGAAATGATAAAATGACATTGAAAAATTGAAAATACTGTATGAAGAATTTTTATGGACAACTTCATCATTTGGTGCTTCTCTGACCAGTTGATGTAAACTGGTCACTCGGCATGGTAGGATAACTTGGCCATCCTATGTACCGGTAGGTTAATCTCGAAAGGTTTTTATCCATATCTTTAGTGTTCTTATTTTTACTTTTTATTTGTAAGGGTATTTGTTGGGACACATGAATCACTACCCAAATATTAATGTTCTGTAGATGCCACTAAAGTTCTCAGGTAGTGATGCTTGTAGAAACTTAACTATATATTGACCCTATAGAAACTTCCCTGGGGCCGCAGTGGCGAGGGAGTTAAGGGGACAGCTTGTTTGATGGCGAGTGCTCGTGGTCACTTGCGCACTTGGCAACCATTTTCTGCTTGCCTTCCGGGATGGCCAGTAATGGATATATTTACTGATCATAATACTTATTTCCTATAAATAATTAATTTAGTTTTATTTGCATTATTTTTCATAAAAAGTGCTCAGCGACACACACTCAGTCTGTCGCCAGCTATCTGGCTGTCTTTGTGTTTGGGAGATCAAGTAATGCATATAAATAATTATTGGAATAAAAATTCCACAAATAAAATTACATTTATAACATAATCATAACATTATTTTCCAGTATTACTACACTACTTTTAGCAATATTACTTTGATACAACATGATAAAATGGACAAACGACTGTCCATGGCAACAGGCTAATGTGAACTAACAGCACTGAGCCCACCCACACTACCCTGTGTGTGGTGTGACCACCAAATAGTCATGCTGGAAACTGATAACCCGAGCTGGGCATTCAAACAATGGCGTGAAAAGGTGCGCGTTCCGTAACGTCAACCGGGGCGTTGGGGTTAAATACTTTATTGTATACTGTACTCATTTCAGAGATAATACTGTATTTATTAAAATTTTCAATTCCATACTTTATTCCCTAAAATTTTATTTATTTATATTTATCTAGTTTTTCTGTCTTTATTCTTCAAAAAATTACAAAATCTGAATGCCATTCTTATGTTTGGATCTAGGGGCCTTCTGATGTCATTTGTGAAACATGTGACTATACAGTGCTGTAATTAAAACATTTAATATCCGTTATTAATAATTATGGTGATGATTTAACCAGTTGTGATGTATGAGTACAAACTTGCACTCCATGCAATTTCTACTGTACTTGCTTTGCACTCACCAATGCTCAACAAATACTGGAACCAAGTTGTATACTGCACCAGTTTTGGCCCCCACAACCAAACTACTATGACACATAAGTTTTCCTTACCATCTAGCAGCCAAAGGCCTCCTTCTCTGACTTACAAAACCTTCATGGCACCTATAAATCCTTGTATAGTGTGTATGCACCAGGTCCTTGGATGGTGAGTATATACAGCTGTACAGAGTATAGTGATTTATATGTACACTTCTGTATTTTATATCTGTGTACAATGTTTGTTTAATATGACTTTAAAGTCAGTGATACTTTTTATGTGCACACGTTGTTGATTTGTGTTTATGGTCTTTGGGTTCAAACTTTATAATTTATGTACCTGATGTTTTGGATTCACAGTCCCAAGGTCCATTGTACCCACTCTTTAGTTCACTAAATGGTTAGTGCCAAAGGTGTGCAAACTACAGAGGTTATAATGTAAGATTGGCAAGAGTTATAAGAGAAATGCTGAAAAATTATAAAACAAGAAGATAATTTGGCCATATAACTTGGGATGAAAGGATAATAGTACAGATATTAATGGGTAACTGAGAGTAGTAGGGCCAAGGAAAGACAAACTGATGTGAATTAACAAAATCAAAAGCTGGGTCCTTGGAGAGAGAGAAACTTTGAGGGATTGGTAAAGACAGCCCAAAAAATGTTTCATGTGGATGGCTTTAGTAGTTGCCTAGCCTCAGACATGAGGATGGCATCTTGATTTTATGATCTGATTTTGGTGGCTCTGGATATTGCTGGCTTTTTTCCTGAAGGTTCTAGGGCAACACTGAAGAACTGAAAGGTAAGGGAGAGTGTGGGCAATAATCGAACGAACCTTAAAAGAAAACAAAATCTAGAAATGGAATATTGATACTGGAATCCTGTTTCCTAGTAGAGCCTAGAGCCAGGTGTCTTGGTTCCACTTTCTCCTTCTTTGGGTTCGTGGATTAAGTCAGTTGGAACTTCAAAATTGTAGATTGACCTTAATATCAGAATTTTGGGCTGTAGCTTTGGTGCAGAGTGCTGATGGACAAATGTGACTCAAAGAAGAGCTCTTAGCATTTAGAAGGCAATAGTTGAACTTAGTTTTCGTCCTTTTAAGGAGGAGGAGTGATGAGGAGGAGGCAGCATCTTTAGCTATTTTCCACCAGTGTGGACTTGAGCTTGTTAATTTGTATGTACTGTATATTAAGAGTTGGTATGCAAAAGTAATACAGCTGATTTGTTTCAATTTTAAGGTGTATAAAGTACTGTAGCATTATCATGAATTGAGAATTGTATTTTCTTTCAGTATGGTAGACCACTGGTTGTTCTAATGCTTGGAATTTACCGGTTATAACCTTTGATACAATTTGATTACTGCATTGTTTGATGCAAAACTTATAGAAAATATAGAAAGTCCATAATATTAATGGTCTTGAGAGATCGACTAGAAGGGAATACTTGTACCTATAGTATACAGTACAGTACTCTAGGTACTCATATTACAAGACAATCCATCACAGTTTTAAGTGTCATTATAAATGGGCAGCAGTTTTATACATGTATATTGTATTATCAGGTTGGAGAGTAAATCATCACTGAAAATAAATAATGTATATTGTTGACAGTGTTATTCTGCTGTTACTTCTAATGATTACCAATCATAATTTTTCATATAAGGTATTGTACACTATGATAACTAGATTCTATTTATATTTCATATCCCAAAATTTGAATTTTATCTTATTGAAAGATAAAGCTAGTCACTATAACTACTATGAGGTAGACAGGTATTAAACAGCAAAGTTGAAAACCGCTTGTACAATATGTAAATAAGTGATGAAAAAATACATACAAACTGTAAATTATTTCTGGAACAGAGAGAGAGAGTTACTAATTGAAAAAGGTATTAGTAGGACATCTTTCAGTGTTGTCATGTACAGTACGGTAGAAAACAGTTTATGAATTAATACTAAATTTAGCTTTTTTTTTTTTGCAGATTTTCTACAAGACACATAAGTGGTGAAAACTTTAAAGAAAGATCTGATTGGAGATCTAGCACGGAAGAGATGGAAGTGAATACCTGGGACTCTGAAGCAGATTCCCCACACCAGGTGACATATGATGATAATCACACTGATTCATTTGGTGATATTCTAAATACAAGTCCATCGGCTCCATTACAATCACAATTTACAATACCTCCCAGAATGAAATTGATGGTTGTGGGAAGAGATAGAAATGGTGTGGAACATACTGGTGCTGTGAACACACAAAACAATGATATAAAAGCTTGGTCCCAGACTACAGAAGCTGTTGTGAGCAGTTCACAGTTATCTCCAGTAACAATATCTACATCATCTGAACTTCACAGTCAAGGTTTTGGTAAATTAAACTTGATTAACCATCCCAAAGTGACTCCAAAGAAACATGTGCCAGTTGTGCAAGTTTCCTCATATAAGCCCAGAGAGTTTCTGGTAAAGAGATCAGCTTCTGAATATAGATTTGGAAATATCAGACAGCCTGTTTCTTTGTCCAGAAGTTCTTCATTGACACACAAACAATATGCAAAAGATTATAGAAAGCCTGCACCAGTAAAACTTGAAACAGAATCATTAATATCACGAGAAGATCGTTTATCACACGGGAGTCCAGAAATGATTGCTGCTAATGTGCTGGTGGAAGGTTTTGCGAAGGAAAAAAATATGAGCAATAAGTAATGTGAAGTTAGGTTGAAATTCCATTGATGTTGACGATAAAAGTGAAAAACATTTTACATTATCACCTGGATATTGGTGTGTGTGCCAGGTTAAATTTATGACATTCATAGACTGATAGAATGTCAATATAAAGTCAGAAAAAAGACAAGCATAATACTTAATATTACTTTGAACTTCCATGGAACACAAACTACATGTGCAATATTGAAACATTTGTATTTTGACTATTTGTGAAAGTATCAGGAACCACGAAGTGAGACTGGTATCTACATGTACAATAGTGTATGAAGTTTTGAAAAATTATGAAATGGTTTAGTTTCTGTTCATGTACAAAATGTTCTTGTAAATTTGGAGTTCGATATGAATTTGAAAATATATTTTGTGACAAGTATTTTGTGTTAATATTTTCAATGGGATGAAACATTTCGTAGATATTAAGTCCATTTATTGTATAATGCCTCAAATGATGGCAGAGCTTGTTACCTTGCCCTAACTGGTCAAGCATATGATTCATAATTGGAAAAGAAGATTAAGTTCCTTACTCACACATAATAAATGAGTTCAATGTTGGATATGCTCACCAATGATGGAACAAGCTTTTGGTGGGCAAGTACTATATCCTGCCAGGGGAAAGTGGTAACCCACTAGCTGTTTAAATGATAAAAATTAAAAACAGAACCTGTTTGGCCACCCAGCATCAGCAGAAAGGATATGAATGAAAACAATATGTATACTGTACACTGAACCCTGTTCAGACCTAAGAGGATGGCTGGGAATTGAGAGTGCAGTACTGACAAATTTTTATGTAGAGGTTGGGTGAGATGGTTTGGGCATGTAGAGAGAATGGAGATCAATTGTGTCAAAGAGATGCATGGCCAGAGGTAGGCCAAGAATGACATGAGGAAAGGTTGTAAGAAATGCCACCAGTGTTACGGGAAGAGCAGAATGAGAGAGACTGCAATAGAATGCACAGCAATAGAATGCCAACAGTTAATCACAGCTAGCCCATGCAATCATGGAAAATGGCCATGAAATGTTGATGATAATGTCAGGGTGGTAACCCACAGAATAGAATAACTTATGGTATGTATATTAGGAAAATTTACCATATTTGCTGGAGGTGTTCATTGTTATGTTTTTCATACAAATGAATTCGATAAACTATGTTATGATACGCTTACTGTTTTGTAATTTTTGGCTGATATTTTGTTTACTGTACATATAATGTTGTCCCATGAATGTTTCAATATATTAAGATAATATAAGTAAACTTTACCCATTAGAAATTCCCACAAAAAGGATTGGGTTGAATTAATATTTTTATACATATTCATTACAACAATACTGTATCAACAGTATGTAAACTGACATCTGTACGTTAGTGCTAGTTGTTACTAATAATATCAACAGTGGTACAATCAGTTGTTGAGTTTGATTACTTTATTTTGATATTAAGTAAATGTACAGACCATAATTATATACAGTATATAGATATATACAGTGAACCCTCAAAGATTCAGACCTGGTAAATCTAGATTTTGGAAGATTCAGACAAAATTTGGGCATTCCGGGGTCTAAGAAGCCTCCCTAAGAAGTATTCCCAAAATAAAGCAGAGATCATCTTAGGCCCATGTAACTAAGATGTCAGCGCGCAGGACACAGGTGCCCGAATATTTTTGCATTTTTACATTAAAATTATTGGTCATTCTGAAATTTAGTAAACATATTGATAATATACAGTATAGTGCAGTGTTGATTTAAATAAAATAATCTTGAATTACAACAAGTAAACTTAAAATTTTATTGGTGAAATTACTGCATCAAGCATGGGTCCAAAGAAAGGTGATTTCTCCTCCATCCACACTTCCTTCTCTTCTCCCTTCTCCTCCTCCACTTCTAATTCCCATCATCATCATCAACCAGCAACATTCTACATACACACCTCAAAGTAAGTGTACTTTACTGCATTTTGTTTATACATACTTTGTATGTACTTTTCTGTGAGCTGGAACTAATTACCCAATATCCCATTGAAACAATGGATTCGGTTAACGAACGACTCTGTGGAACGAATTATGTTCATTAACCGAGGGACCACTGTATATATACATCTCCCCGACTTATGACCTACTCGACTTACGACCACCCGAACTCAGTCGTACCAAAATTTTGTCAAATTTCGTACTTTCGAGTCCCAACATCAGTACACAGACAAAATTTTCGTTTGTAATTCACTTAAAAATGGCTGGTAAGCTTGAAAGTGAGAGTTTTTGTGGTGCTGAGAAGAAAAAGAGACACCCATTTTAAATTTTTTATGTATTATTTAAGCATTTACGACTTACAAACTGGATTTGGGTCCCTAACCCCATCGTAAGTCGGGGAGGAGCTCTCTCTCTCTCTCTATATATATATATATATATATATATATATATATATATATATATATATATATATATATATATATACAGTCCCTCCACTTTCTGGCCCCGGTTAATGTAACCCACAGGGTACCTCGGAAAGTGAGAAACGCATAAAGTGAATAACATAACATATGGGATTAAATGAAATAGAGACCAGCTGACCCCCCAAACTCCACTTTTTCCAACACAATACCTATGTTCTAGTAAAAATAACATCTTAATTTTATGATGGTACATGCACACAATTAATACTTAAGAGAAATAGAGAAATACAGTCGCCAAGTTAATGTCCATTCAAATAATGGACTCAACTCCCTCCCCCTCTTCTCACACTACACTTGCTGGCTGTTCCCTCTCTGAGAAATTTTTGGGGGAAAACCAGGTATAGTAATAAATAATACCTCAAACTAAAGTTAGGATAATATAATTCACATTGCTGGATTCGTTGTAAGACCAGGAATATTTTGAATACAAATGTCATATATTTTGCACAAATGATAACATATTTACTCAGAGTAAACATTATATCTAAAATTTGTATGTCTAATGCAAAATCTATGATGTTTATATTCAAAATGATCATCAAATTGTAAGAATTCCATTCATGTAAATTATATTCTGGCTGGGTAATTTGTATGAATTTTATGAGCTAAAACAAATATCTTCAGTTAATAAAAAAAAAAATATTCTTCGACACTATCTGTCAATCAAAGTACCCCACCTTGCCTCCCCCCCTCTTCCAACCACGCCAGGTGGTCGGGTCCGTCCCAACCCTCCCCCCCACCCCCCACCAATCCTCCCTTCAAGAGAAAGGTTGGGTGAAAAAACTAGATTTTAACATTTAGTATTAAATAATACCTCAGATTAAAGTTAGGATAATATAATTGACATTGCTGGATTCCTTGTAAAACCAGGAATATTTTGAATATAAATGTCATATATTTTGCACAAAAGATAACATATTTACTCAGAGAAAACATTATATCTAAAATTTGTATGTCTAATGCAAAATCTATGATGTTTATATTCAAAATGATCATCAAATTGTAAGAATTCCAGTAATGTAAATTATATTCTGGCCGGGTAATTTGTATGAATTTTATGAGCTAAAACAAATATCTTCAGTTAATAAAAAAAAAAATATATTCTTCACACCGTGGTGCCAGGTGGTCGGTCGCCGGTCCCTCCCTCCCTCCCACCCCCCACCAACCCTCCCTACCAGATGAATGTGTGGGAATACCAGACTGTTTACCTTTTTAGTAATAAATAATAAATCAGACTAAAGTTAGGATAATATAATTGACATTGCTGGATTCCTTGTAAGACCAGGAATATTTTGAATATAAATGTCATATATTTTGTACAAAAGATAACATATTTGCTCAGAGTAAACATTATATCTAAAATTTGTATGTCTACTGTAATGCAAAATATATGATGTTTATATTCAAAATGATCATCAAATTGTAAGAATTCCAGCAATGTAAATTATATTCTGGCCGGATAATTTGTATGAATTTTATGAGCTAAATAAAAAAATTATACTCACCTGTGTAAAGGGGTACACCCACCGCGGAATGTGAGCATCCTGGGTTCTGGCAGGGCACGTGTAAACGCAGAATGTGGGACCGCGTAAAGTGAGGGTTGACTGTGTATATATATATATATATATATATATATATATATATATATATATATATATATATATATATATATATATATATATATATATATATATATATATAAAACAAAGAAGTATGTGTGTTTGTGTGTCCGCACGAGAATCTCGGAACCTACTTTCCGATCTGTAGTGATGATGGGTGTTGTTATATGTAGTGATGATGGGTGGTGTTATATGTAGTGATGATGGATGGTGTTATATGTAGTGATCATGGATGGTGTTGTATGTAGTGATGATGGGTGGTGATATATGTAATAATGAATAGACAATAAAATAATAACAGTTTAATGCTAAAAAAATCTTTACATACTTGTGATAATGGCAAAACCAAAAATGTGGTCTACCCTAATGCACTACAATGAGACAATGTGGAGCCTCCCGGAGAGTGGCGTCCTATCGTGGCATTACAATGGTCATTGCTAGACTCTTTCGCCAGACCCTACCTGTCATTTCTCGAAGCACTGCAGCTGATGAACTGAATGTGTGCCTCAAGGTATCATACCTTTTGAGAAGTGTTCAGACACTCACCCTATCCACAAACATGAGAGTACATCTACAAGGATGTACTCTCATCAATAATCCTCTCAACACTGTGAACACCCAGTTCAACAAAAAACTGAAGTCCCTATTGAGAGGCAAAGCTACTCTCATTAAACATCTTACTTCAACGTCCCCTCCACTGCCATACATGTACGCTGTAATCAAGACCCACAAGCCCAATAACCCAGCAAGACCCATCATTAGCTCAGTTGGGTCAATCTCTTATAAACTATCTAAATGGTTAGTTTCTTTACTAAATCCCCTAGTTGGCAACATTTCTAACTCCAATATCAAGAATAATATGGATCTGGTTGATAAAATCAACAACTTACACATTAATTATGATTTAAACTGGTCAGCTTTGATGTAACATCACTCTTTACAAAGGTCCCAGTTGATGATTTACTAGAGTTCCTCATAGATTCCCTGGATGACATTTCACTGCCCGTCTCGAAAGACGACTTCATCGAACTCATCAAACTATGTATTAAGGATTGCAAATTCGAATTCAATGGGGAATATTATGCTCAAAAATTTGGTATGGCAATGGGTAATCCACTCTCACCTGTATTAAGCAACCTATATATGGAATTCTTTGAAAAGAAACTATTAAGTAATATTTTACCACCCTCAGCAGTCTGGTTTAGATATGTTGATGATGTATTATGTCTCTGGCCATGTAATGAGGACCTAAAAGCTTTCCTGCCTCAACTTAACAACTTAACCCCCTCGATCAAATTCACTGTGGAATTAGAGCAAGACTGTAAATTGCCATTTCTAGACTGTCTGATACACAGAATAGGTAACACTTTTAAGTTCAGTATTTATAGAAAACCAACTAATGTGTGTTCATACATTCATTATTATTCTGCCCACCATAATAAAGTCAAACAGTCAGTATTTTCAACAATGTTTTTACGTGCCTTGAGAATTTGCAGTCCGGAATTCATCGATGAGGAATACAAATATATATATAATATTGGCTCAAACCTTAAATACCCTAGATCTTTCATAGACAAATGCCTAAACATTACTAAGAAAACTTTTTATAGAACTGATCCCAAGCCCACCCATGACCATAAGAATATCTTAATATTACCATTTCACAAAAATTTCTCACACATTCCTTCACAACTAAAAACCTGGAACGTCAATGTGGCATTTAAAAACTCATGCACTGTTAAACAAATGTTAATCAAGAACTCCCCCAACAACACAATTGGTTGCATTTATAAAGTTCCTTGCAAGGAATGTAATATGTTTTACTTAGGCCAGACAGGTAAAGATCTTGCAACTAGAATTAAACAACACAAATACAGTGTTAGGACAGGCCAGGAATCCAATGCTCTGTTTGTTCATTTGAGGGATAACAAGCATTGCATTGACTGGGATAATGCCTCCTCAATATTACCATGTAAGTCAATTGACAGTAGGAACATCATAGAATCTAGTCTTATTAAACATACCGAAGCATTCAACATGAATTTGAGTAACGGCATGTACAAGCTGGACAATTTTGTAATTAAGAAGATTTGTGATCAGGTGAGAAGGCCGGGTCACTTGACCATCTGACCTGACCACCAACCGTTGTGTGCTATTTAAAGATTAGTAGGGTCATTACCTAATACCTGACCATTGTGGACCTGGTCTCACCCTCCTCTGTATATATACACCTTGATTTGTATTACTCTCTTAGTCTGTACTCACCCCTGAAGATGTGAATTACACGAAAGCGCTTGGGAACTTCGTGTTTTCTTCTTTCCTTGTGGTTATCAGCATA